ATTAAGATAAGATTACTAAACCCTAAATAAGATATTCAAACAATAATGATATTTAAAATTCAAAAAACCATTCAACTAAGTAAATAGAAACCATTCAACTAAGTATATCAAAAATCCAATTTTACTGATTTTGATTATAAAAAATAACAAAGATGAGAATCAAAATTTTAACATAGTACTAAAACCTTTTTAAATTTAAACATAAATAAATATTAAAGATTTACCTGAAAGTGCAGTAATTGTTGATAGGAAAAGTTTCAGATCAAAGTTTGAAACTAGCGAGAGCGAAGAGTTTTCTGAGGAGGAGCACTAAAGTTGTTGATTGGGAAATATTTAAAGTTGATTTAGTAGATAAGAATTACCAGGAATAGCAAGTGGTTAGCTAAGAAAGAAACAAGTTACAAACTTGTTAATTCGGAAAATAAAAATCTCGCACTCAATATTCAAAAGCAAGGCAAAGGTGTGAATCTACAAAACTTATTGTCTAGAACACTCATCATCCAGAAGCAAGGCAAAGATTGTATTCAAGGTCTAACGAGGTTTAAGCTACCAATATAGAATATAAAGCTGCATAGAGGAAGCAGCTTCAAGTGCTATCTTTAGGATCCTCTCCAAACTTCTTCACCACCAAAACCGCCTCAAGAAAGGGGGAGGGGGAGAAAAAGCCAGTTTGCAGTAGCGTTCGATAGAACAAAGCAAAAGACACAAAAGGAAAACAACATTAAATGTTTTGCACACAGCACATAAATGGTTACTTCAGTTAGGCTACATTTTTTACATCTGAGCTAAAGATGAAGAGAAATTATCATACTTTCTTGGATCTTGCGGGCAGCTTCACAATTTTGAAATTCGCAAGAAAAGGCATCAATGTCTTGTTATGACCATACAGAGTACTGATCAGCACACTAAAAAAAGGATCTAACTACCTAAATAGGAAAAAAAAATGGAAAGTTGCATCTAATGTGTAGCACCCCGTTTTGGCAAAAGTTAGTGTTAAATTTGCCAAAAAAGGAAACAGGTCAGGTAAAAAGAAACTTTCCAAAAAGAAATACAGGTCAAGTAATAAAGAACAGAGGAAGTATTTATCTATATATGCATATTTTTAAACGCCTATTGACATTGGTTGTTGATCATCTCAAATCTATTCATGGACCGTCTTAACACTAAGTCTCTAACTTCTATGTAATATTTTCTCTGTTTCCTTAAAATCTAATAAATCACTGCTCATACCAATAAGTCCCTAGTAGTCCAGGAAAAATGCTCTAACAATAGCCTTCCTCCATGAGACTTTGACGGGTGCTTCATTAGCCTGCTCTTTCCTTTGATTCAGCTCCATTTCCCTTTGGATCTTCGCCTCGATTTCTTTTGTCATATCACTTCTGAGTTTTTGGACCTCTGCTTCAACTTCCCTAACACAAAATAATGAGTTTTAATCAGACATTATTGAAAGACTGTAAAGTAATCGTCGAGGTTATTGATAAAAAAATGTATCCTGAGTCCTGACCTCCGTATTTGTGCATTCATCTCCTCCCTGTATAAACATAATTATTACTAGTATCAATCAGTATTGCCACAAAAAATTCATAATTAATTCTTAACTTATTTCAATTGCAAGGCCGCTTTATGTTAGCTTATCAACTCTTATACGAACTTGTGCCTCGTGATTAAATAAAATTAAAAATTTACGCGAAAAGAATGCAGTCCTAAAAGAAGCTAAGCAATAACTATTTGCCCCATTTAGGACTTCAAATTCAGGAGGTAAAACGATTGTTTAAACCTTTTTGAGTTTCTTCTTGCTGCTATTTCGTTGTTCACCCTGTGTAATTGCATACAAAATTCTAATCAGTAATTAAAAGCTCATCATTCATGTAATACTGTCAATTTTTCGTAAATAATAGTCACGTGTACTAGATACGAAGTATGAGAAACCTTTAATAACTAAGCAAATCGTGTGGTCTACAATCTACTTAGTTATAAAGGGTCGGGTAACAGTGTAACATGACTATTATTTTCGAATAGAGGAAGTATAAACGAGAAAAAAAATAAGGTGTATTACATACCCCTCAAAAGGGTCATAGACTGCAACGCTAGATAAACCAAGTATACTCAGAATGCAAACAACGAACCACACTAAATAAAGAGGAAATAAAACATGGAAAAATTATAAGGAAAAGAAAAAAAAAATTAAATTAAAGGAAAATAATGATTTGCGTACCTGATGATGTTTCATCACTTGTTGACCTGAAAGCCATTAGAAATTCTACTTATGATCAAACAGAAAACTAGTAGTAGTACTCTGTAGTAGCAAATACAGATAATTAAGTGGATAATTTTATGTTAAAGAGGTACGTACGTTTGATTCAATGTGGCGCGATTCTGAGCAGAAATATTGCATAGATTTGATACAGCACGACTTTGAGCGGGTGCACTAGAGACATTGTAGGGAATATGTACATTCTTACCCCTCCCACTCCAAAATTTCGTGCTGAATTAAAATTACACATGTACATAAATATTATTTATCAACATTGTGTTGTTTGTAACGTAATTTAAGTTCATCATTACTTTTGTGCGTTCGTTTGTATGTACAATTGTATTCAGAAAATCATCAACTAGAATAATTCCAAGTTTCCAACCTATACTCGTGTTGCATACTCGGAATAATCCTAAGTGAGAGTTGATTTCTCATTATTTTTATGTTTTATTTTTAGGGTACACAGGGAGCCCCTCCTATCACAGGTGGGGAGGATGAGTATACAAAAAGTCTATATGAATATACAAACCACAAAAAGTCTATATGAGTATACAAAAAGTCTATATGAGTATACAAACCACAAAAAGTCTATATACAAACCACCTAAGGTAAGATTATACCCATCTCCTAGATCCCCTAGAGTTGATTTCTCATAGTTATACCCACAAAAGTTCTATATGAATATACAAACCACTTAAGATAAGATTATTCTAAGATAATCGAGATGACAAAACAAGGAAACCTCGAAATTATTGTTGTTAATATTAAAACAAGAGCAAATTAAGCCATTAATAACTAAATTATGTTTCATCATCAAATAATATGTAGTACACAAAAGAAGTTAAAACCCTAACATAATGAATTAATTTTTTTGGGAGGCCCTAACAACATAGAAATCCCTAATATTATAATAATAATATGATCAAAGAAAATAATAATAATAATAACAACCAAAAAAAAAACATACCTAGCATGCTTCGTGAGAGAAATAGTGGTACGGATTACCATTATGTTGTGTGTTAGTTGTTCCAAGAGAAAATTATTTGTAAACTATACTATCAACAAAATTACCTTGGAGAAAAGGATAACATGGAGGCCAAAATTTTTGGAAAAATTAGCTTATTCTAAAAAACGTAACAACAATTAATCTTTAACCCTAAAAATGCTTATATACATGAAACTATACGATAATGGTCTGGACTTTCAGCTATATATGGGCCTAATTTAAAGGATTGGAATTGAACTCAACATACTTCGTAGTAGTTCAATAATTACTTATATATTTTTGACGATAATTACTCATATTAAATCACTGAAGAAATATTAAAAGTCAAAATTTGAACTATATTTTTTAAAAATTAAATCAATGCTTCAAAGTTATTTTAACAATTCTATTATTATATCATTTATTTATGTGACGTATTAAGCAGAAAGTTAAACATTATTTGGACTATTTCAAAAAAAAAAAAAAAAAGTTGGGACTAAATTCAAAAGATATAGCATCTTGGCCTATATGTAAAGCCCAATCATGATATCTGTTTCAATGTAGATGTCAACTAGCTTAACAAGATCGAATTCTACATATGGTCATACTCGTAATCTTGTATACCATAAGATTGCACATACGATAGTGAATGGGTTGCGATATCAAGAAGATGGTAGTTTGGTGGACAGTAAAGACAAAGAAAAAAATGTAACACCTTGAGGAGAATGACCTTTTATAACATAACAAAGTCATACACTGTCTACTGAAAGCACTGCTAATAATCTGCTTGCTCAAACCACTACAGAGTGTCCACATATAAGGTCACTGTCTATATAACTTAGTACAGAACACAATGAAAAGAGCACTAACAAATACAATTTACATGGTACATGACACTGCACGTTAAGAGTATTAGCTTATTCATAGTGTTGGTCATGTCTTTATAAACTAGTACACAACACACAGAGAAACTTACGAGGCACTGTCGAACTGATTATTCAACTTACTACAGTGTTCGCAGTGCTCATATTATCAGTCCCCTCTACAGATTTTTATTGAAGTCTTGGAGGCTCTTGTTAGTTTCTGTAATGTCTCGTTGAGCGATATCCTTTCAGTCTCTGACTTCAAACGATTCAAAGTTATATCCAAAGTCTTAACATGCCATAATCGCTAATATTAGATACGAAGTATTTATTATATATGGAGATATCTAAGATTATTGTAATTCAGAAGGAGAAAGGAAATTAAAGATACAGGAAAATGTTTTGGCAGGACAAAAGGTTACAAATCATAAATTGCAATTAATCCATTTACCAAATTGATTAGGAAATTCAAAACCAGATCATTCTGAAACAAAGAAAGTCGCCAAATTCCTACAGCAACTAAATAGAAAGTCATACTCCACAAGTTGACAGCCTCATATACAAGAGATTAGCAATGGGAGCTAGTTTCTAGATCCAAAAAGAAGAAAAAAATAAAAGAAAAGAAAAGAGCAAGCCTTCAAAAATTCGCCCCACCAAAAAAAAGATGGAATAACTAGAGTACAGATGCTGGCTTGATCAATATTAGCTCTTGATAAGAGACCATAACCTTCCAACAGTTGAGAAAATAACTCATTTACCGGCCCGAAATGACTCCTTGGTTCTGCCATAATACTCAGGTTTAGTTCCATGGAATGTGATGAAATTCCAGCCAAATGCAGAACCACCAACAATGTAAGTTCCTGTGATCCGGGTACCGCCATGCATTGGCTTTTCAAGATTATTTCCTACTGGGAAGCGCTTTCTTGTGATGGCTGATCAGCAGGCTTCTGCCCAAGCCTCCCAGTTTCTCGTTAGTGAAATCTAAACTTCCTGCTCCGCTGTTGCACTTAGCTAGCGGTACCTTCTCCGCTGTCTGGTGTCTACATAACTCCACCATAAGCGTCATTTCTGCAAGTTAAAGAAAATTTAATAAGTACTTCATAAGATTTACCAAGGATAGCAAGTGATTAGCAAAGAAAGAAACGAGTTTAAAACTTGTTAACTCGGAAAATAAAAGTCTTGATCACTCATTAATCAAAAGCAAGGCAAAAGTGTGAGTCTACAAAATTTGTCTAGAACACTCATCACCCAAAACCAAGGCAAAGTGTGAACACTCATTTTATTTAAGGTGTAAAGTGTTAGAGACCAACATTATTGGTCTAACAAGGTTTAAGCTACCAAAATAGGACCTATCTTTAGGGTCCTCTCCAAACTTCTTCACCACCAAAGTCGCCTCAAGAAAGGGGGAGAGGAGAAAAGGCACTCTGCAGTAGCACTTGATAGAACAAAGCAAGTGATACAAAAGGCAAACAAGATTAAATACTTCGCACACAGCACATAAATGGTTACGCATAGGGTACACTTTTAACATCTGAGCTAAAGATGAAGAGAGATTATCAATACTTTCTTGGATCCTGCGGGCAGCTTCACAGTTTTGAAAGTCGGGGGCACGGAGAACCTTCAACATAGAAAAGAAAAGGCATCAATGTCTTATTATGATCATACAGAGTAGTTATCAGCACACTTAAAAAAAGGATCTATGATAAAAAAAAAAAAAATTGAGGCAAACTGGTATCCCAGTGGCCAGTACTAATTAAATATGAGGCAACTGGTATAATGGTAAGACACTAAGACCTCATCTCAAGGGCCTTATATATTATGTATTCTTTTTCAGAAGTCTAGTTCAAGTGTCAATGAGTTTAACTTAGAATATCATATTAAAACAAACTACAAATCAACTTGCAACCAGTTCAATAACTTTTTAGGGAGTACATTGAAGAACAAGGTTAGAGAGGTGCATTGCTCTCACCAAGGAATCACTGAGGATTAGGGTGCGATAAACCTAACAGAGTACAGCATATTCTACAGGACTGATGCTGATAAGCTACGAAACAGGAAGAAAAGCATGCTGTCAAGGCAGCCAGCACACATCCATAAAGAAAATCCATAGCATCCTCGAAAGAATTCAACAAAGAAAAAGAAGAGAGACTCTATCCGGAGTGGTTGATTCCAATATTGTTTTGACTAAACTAAGATCTGAAGCTAAGTTTTTCATGAAGTTGGGCGGAAATTTGTAAAACATGAAAAATTTTACAAGTTGTAGCTCATAACAGTTTTCGAATCAGAATGCAAAAACGAGCATGAGCTATAAAATTGACCAAAGATTAGTAATGGACATCAATGGAAAGGTTCAGTCACAAGTACACCCATGAAGCCACGACCGTTACATATCGAGTAATATTTACACATACATCATAGAATCTAGTTCTCTTTCCCATTCTGCTGCACCTTTCCTAGCTTTGGTAACTTCATGAGTCATGACCACTTATTCAATTAAACAGCTCAGGAAAGCAAATCATATAGAGGATATGCTTTGATTATTTCCTAAATATGCCTATTACATGAAAATTAATACTGTCATAGTGGAGATTAGTATTGGTTGACAGTAAAATATCTAATACTCGTGCAAACCAGAAGTACGGATTATCACTAAAAGGAAGGCTCGAATCAAGGGATAGCCGCAATCTTGTTATTCACGAATAGGCATCATAAATAATCCTCAGTGGCATATTATTTTCACCCACATCAAACCCTCAGAAAAACACCACTTCCTCAAGGATAGTGCATTATTGCATCTTTTACCTAGAGTGTCAATTCAGATTTCTGAATAAAAATGCAAGGTAAGTTACTCGGAGTCTCGAACCATTCAAATCATGACTTGTAAAAACTAAATAGACTTAGAATAATAAGCAAACACGAACATTTGATAATCACCTCTCAGCAGATACAAAGCATTAAATTAGCACATTGATTCCACATGAATTTATATGATCTAATTAAAACTCCAACAATCAATTACAATAATTAACATGACCCAAAATCAAATCAACTTAGAATTGCAAAATTATCCAATTCCACTCACATTATCAAGAACTACACTCTGCTCATGCACCATTACGCAATTAGGGAAGATAACAACTCTTTGACGCAATCAACATTTTTTTTTTTATTTTTTTTTTTTGCAAACTAAACCCATAAAAATCTCAAAAAAAAAAATCGCCCCACATAATTTTATTTGATTAAAAACAAATAAAACTTCAAATTTTGGCAGAAAACAGAAATCCAGGCAACACCCAATTGCAGAAACAGTTAGAACAAAAACCTAAAGATTCAAAACTTTACAGAAATCAACTAAAAAAAACAACCCACAAAAATTAACAATTGGAAAGTAAAAGTTAACAGAAAATCAAGCAACGTTATCCAAAATAATCAAATTTCCAGAAATCAAACAATACCCAGAAAAAAAAAAAGAAAAAAAAACAGATAAAAATAGAAGAGAAGAGTAAACCTGAAGAAAAAGGGGACGAAGGTCTCTGATAAAAGCACGCATCTTAAAGTAAGGAGAACTCTGAAGAAGATAAACATGGTCAAGAGGTCTCTTCTTCGGATTGAAATTATTTGAAAGAGGTGGTTGAGATTGTGGCGGGAGATTTGGAACTACTGGAATTTGATTTTGATTTTGATTTTGATTTGAAGTTGTTGTTAATGGAGTAGTAGTTGTTGAAGGGGTAACTATGGGTTGTACAGTTGAAGACGCCATTGAATTTTCTCTCTCCTCTTTTCTCTTCTCTTCTCTTTTCTCCTTTGAAATCGGTGAATTTTCTCTCTCTATTTCTTGAGTTTTCTTCAAAAAGAATTTTGAGTATTTTTGGGATTTTTTTTTTTTTTTGGTGGAGTTTTGTATTTAATTTGGTCTCTTTGAATTCTCAGTCCCACAACTCCTAGTCTCCTACTCTTCCAGATCTTTGAATTCCCTTCTTTTAGTTTCTGACCGGGATTTGAGTATTATCGTTGTAGTCGTAGTTGTAGTTGTCGTTGTCGTCGTCGAGGTTGTAAGATGACCAAATTTTAGGTCGGAGACTCTAATCTTATGATGGTTAATTGTTATTTGTCTGTTTTATTGAATTAAATTAAGATAAATATTGATTTTTAAGACTTGAGATTAGGATAAATTTTATCGGTATGAAATTGATTGTCTAGTCCATAATCAATTCTATTGAAATTTGAAAGCATTCTTTTGAATGAACACATGAAATAAATTAGCTATATGACTACAAATAGCATTGACTTGAGCTAGCTAAATCTAATGATCGGCAAAATCAATCACTTGTTCGTTCCTTAAGATAGTGATACTTCGCATAATTGAGTATTATGGTTTAGATGACAATTTGGTCCGAGGGAAGAAATTTTCTTAAAAAGTTCATATCAACATCCTAGAGAAAATGTATCAGTCTTATGAGGAGTTGAAAACGTTTATGTCACCTATTGTAGTTATCAGTTTTGATTCAGGCCTTTGAGTTTGGTCTTTAAAATTTTGTGAATTAAAAATCAAAATTTCATCTGAAAAAAGTGAAATAGTGGTATAGGCGTATAGTTGATCATTATAAAGCCTGATTCGATCAAGCTAAATTTTGGATAGAATTTTCAATATAACAAACAAGCTTGGTGTATCTGAGTTCATGCAAAACTTTAACATATGGTTTTGTTTCACGACCACTTTAGTTAAATAAAAATATCCTTTTAATTTGATAACATTGAGGGGTCGTTTGGTTGGGGGTATTCATCAAAGGGAATGGAAATCAATAGGAATCATTCCCTTTGTTGTTGTTTGTTAGG